TTGCAATTGTTAATGAACAGTTACTTTATATCTGATGAACTTTAAAAAAAAAAAAAAAAAAGGAAAAAGAAAATAGTAAAGTAATTGCTGCATGTGCAAACATTTGCAGTATGGTATGTGAAAGCCTTTATATATTATTACCTATTAATTTATATCATTAGTATGATATTTAAAATCCATAATACATAGGGTGTCAAAGAAATGGATTACTTTTGCATGAACATGCATTCGAATTTCACCTATACTTGAGCCTCTCACCTCGTTTGTAGATGACACTGAGGTTAAGCATGAGAACGAGAGCGAGCAGATAGAAATGAGAGGCTTCCAGCGCTGCACACTCCCTGATGCCCTTCACCACACCTGAAACATAAACCACAGTGTGTTGTGAAGGCAGAACAGGAAAAGAATGAACTGTGCAGGTTGTGGCTGGAAACTGCCTTTTCTCAATAAAACCAAAGCACAATGTCTGTTTATATATATATATATATATATAAAACCTTTACTGAAGTGCAGGCCACAGAGTTTCACTAGAGCTATTGTGGCTGCCAAACTTTCCACTCTAAAATACAGTGATGCTCATCACATTATATTCTCTTTCTTATGAAAGTAGGATAAGTAAAACCTTCCTCATACACTGAAATCCTGGAATATGAATCCACATGGACTGCATTTATAGCCTCCATTATAAAAAGTATCAAGTAATAGATTCATCACTCCGGCCTTCAGATATATAAAGACCAGACTGTGAGAATGCTGGTCCTTTACTTCAGTTTAGTATTTTCTCACAGAGTCTGATAGAGAGGCTGAGCCTCCTGGGTTTACACACCTCTCTCTCTGTACCTGATTCAGGAACATCATCAACACCAGACCATATCAGTGCTGGTAGATGTTGCAGTACAGTGTGATGTTGTCACAGGGTCTAACAGTCAGGGTCACTGCAGGTGAAGAGTTCCAACCTGCTCTAGAGAAGCTTAGAAGAACATGAAATACATAGATAATCTTTTATTTATTTAACCATATAAACCCAAAGAGCAGCACAGTGGTGCAGTGGGTAGCACTGATGCCTCACAGGTCCTCATAGATCCTGAGCTCAGGTTACTGTCTGTGTGGAGTTTCACATGTTCTCCATTTTCTTCACAGAAACATACCAATCGGTGGACTGTCCATCCATCCATCCATCCTCTGTACTGCTTATCTTACACAGGGTTGCAGGGACCCTGGAGCCTATCCCAGGGAACTCGGGGCACAAGGCAGGGGAAACCCTGGACAGGGTACCAACCCATCACACACACACACACTCACACACACACTGACACACCCATTCACTCACTACAGACCATTTAGAGATGCCAACGCATGTCTTTGGACTGGGGGAGGAAACTGGAGTACCCGGAGCAACGCCCAAAGCACAGAGAGAACATGCAGGCTCCATGCACACAGGGCAGAGGCGGGATTCGAATCCCCAACCCCGGAGACATGAGGCAAACATGCTAACCACTAAGCCACTGTGCCCCCCGGTAAGTGGACTGGCTGTGCTAAATTGCCCCTAGAGGTGAATGAGTGTGTGCACGATGTATTCCTGCCCAGTGTTCTCAGGATAAGGTCTGTCACCTTACAGAAAATGTCATCATATCAACAGTTACACACATTTTTTAAAACGATAACGTATTAGAACAAGCGCATTAACATAAACCTGTGATTTGCAGCTGCACTACTGTCAGAGCTGCTGTTATAGAAAATTAATCAACACCTTCTGACCAATCATAATCCAGAATTCAACAGCACTGTGATGTAAGCAATTTTAAATTAAATGGATTACATCACACGTTATAGGGACTAAATGAGAACATTTAAAACTGGATGATAAGACTTACAATCTCAGTGTAAAATGTGCAATCATTGTAATCTTTTATAGTGTGTGTTTGTGTCAGCATCTGCTGTGTCTAGGACAAAAACAGAGAAAATCTCATTCTGAATCTCTCAATCTAAATGTCTAAACCTCAGTTTGACTACAACAGATCCTTTTGCATGTCATTACATAGTATACGATCTGTGTTTGTACATCATCTATGATAATCACCTCTCTAATTAAAGAGAAATAATGTCTTTTATATTCTTTAACACTTTACACACTGAATAAATTCATCCTGTAGGTGGCAGCAAAAGGATACTGTACATGTGCTACATTCCTGTATTACTGTATTACTGTCTACACCACTAACATACAGTAAAGATAAATCACATCAATATTTTAACATTTTATTTCCATCACAAGCCTTTGTATTAAACTATTTAATGGTTGATTGTGGAGCTGCTTCTGTCGCACTGATATTACATTTTTTCAAATCTTTGTGCAAAAGTAAAATACATTTTAAACACAGGTAAAGTTTTCTTCACAAGATCCTGTGTACATGTTTTAGATGAGTTACTTGCAACATTATTAAAAGGTACAAAAATACATTATGTTATTTCCCAGTATGGGAATATGGTGAAAATATGTCTACCAATAAGGTATACAGTCCCCTCTGATACTATTGGGACAGCACTTTTGGGTCAGTTCAATTATTATTTTTTATTTTTTTTTGCTGTAGACTGAAGACATTTGGGTTTGAGATCAAAAGATGAATATGAGAAGAGAGCATAGAATTTCAGCTTTTATTTCCTGGCATTTATATGTAGATGTAAAGAAGGCTGAAAGAAGCTGAAAGAGGCTGCGGTAAAAGCCTGGAAAAGCATCGCAAAAGAAGAAACCAACAGTTTGGTGATGTCAGTGAGTCGTAGGCTTATTGCATGCAAGGGATATGCAACCAAGTATTGTCTTATTTACTTTGACTTACTTCAAAACCTATCTGTTCCTATACTTTTGCTCACCTAAAAATTGGGTTGTCTGATACAAAAAGGTTCTATGTTTTAACACATCTAGATGTAGAAACAAAAGCTGAAATCCTAAACTCTTAAATTCAGTCTCATATCCATTTTTTTTATCTCAAACCCAAATGTTTTGGTGTATAGCACTTACAAATAAATTGGCCTTACACACGCATTTCATCACCATCTGACTATGTACAAGTCATACTCAATCTCAAAGCGCCATTCACTGCCTGTTTAAAGAAACACTGTGCGGTTGAAACATGGTATTCCTCCTTACATTTTAATCTTATAGACAAGGACAGAGTAAAGCTCTATAAAAGCAGTGCAAATCATGTGCAACTATTAGCATTATAAGGTCTATAAACCCTATAAAAGTACAGAAATAAAAGCAGGAAACTGCACCACACCTCTGTCCATGTGTTTATATAAAGCTTTATAAATTGTTGCTAATGTTTTCTGGGCCGTCAGGAGACACTTGTGTAGGTCACAGAGGTCAAATCAGACAGTTGCAGGTCCACTTCCTGCACAGAGAAACAACTGATAATGTGACATTTTTAGTCTGCTTTAATAGTGACATGATCTCAGCACTGCCTTCTATCAACTACATTTGCTCGTTTTTCTGGTACCTTCTCATTTGAGTCCCCAGTGAAAGAACACTTACCTGAAAAATAAGAGAATTCAACATAGACAAAGACAACAATCTCAGAAATGTCGAACACTACACAGCTTTTCACAATAACTAATGTTTTCATTACACACATTCATTCTGCACTAGTGTACGAGGGCTGCTGCGTGACATGAAGTCACAACAGGAAGTGCAGTAAATAAAGGAAAATGTGTGTGACAGGGTGAACTGTGTGAATGTTGGTCTTTAAGCTGCAGGTTCTCACCTTGTAGCCTGGAACAGTACAGAGAGGAGCAGGTGATGCTTATTGAAACAGAGACCACACACACACACGACAGGATTATAATAATAATAATAATATCTCCACAGTGTGCAGACTGCTGTGTGTCTGAGCAATCAGTCTCACGATGTTGATCTTCTGAAACACGCAGAGGAGCACAGAGATATCAGTAAAGTATCAGAGCGGAAAGTGAGTCCGAAGACATTCTGCTCTTTTCTAACTGTAATTTAGTATTAAACACACACAACAATCAGGCTGTCTCTGATACAATGTGTAACATTAAACAACAACAAAACAATAATAACCCAAGCAAGAGAAAAGTATTTTCTGTTCTCTGTTTTAGCGGTCATCAAAGGCTTCATATTATATTTTGTTTTTATTAAACTCAATCATGAAATTGGAAAGTGAGTCACTATTTGAAACACTTATCATCCACACTGAACTGATATTAACACAGATAATTCAGTATATTCAACATCTAAAACCACATCAATACAGATTTTGAAATATTCGATTTTTTTAAAGTGCTTAATCCTGCCACATCGATCAGATTATCAGAGATGATAGTATCTTCTAAACAACTAAACCTTTCAAAGAACCCATTAAACTCTGAACATAAAATAAATTTAGCCATAATTTTAATGTTGCTCTTTAAAGTGTTGTTGAACAAAAATAAAGAAACCTTGAAGAAAATGAAGCAAGAGAGGAAATGAAGTCTGGAGTGTTAGATGCGCTAGATTTTATTGTTTGTTCATTTAAAATAAGCCTTGAAATAATACCCAAAATGTTATAAATAATATTACGAGAAATAAATATACATACTAAAACAAAATCAAATAGCAATAATCAGACTGAATAAAGTATTGGCACCCACCTGTAAAGTTCAGTCTGATGGGTTTCCCAAACTGAATATGTGTCATTTTGTTTCGACCTCCACAGTAATAAAATCCCAGATCTGTCTCTCTAACTCCAGTAATCACTAAACTGACTGAACTGCTGCTTTCTGTTATATCAAAGTGACTCTCATCCACATTATAACTGAGGTCAAAGGTTTTCATCACTTTCCCTTTTTCAGCAGATATCAGCAGCTTCACCTCCTCAGATCTCAGTCGATACCATGATATCTTAGAATAATTAGTGATGTTACAGAGCAGGATGATGTTCTCTCCAGGATGGACAGATAAATGATCAGTTGAAGTGATCTGAAGGAGACACGGTGTAAAGAAAGCTGAAAGAACAACAGGAGAGCAGATTCATCATCACTGTCCAAACCAGCCTTAGTGCATTAATCCATTCCTGAACATGACTCACACTCTCACAGCTACAGTGGCTAATAACAGTCATTTATAGTTTACTATCTGTTTTGCTAATGTGTGTATGAACTCACCAAACAGCATCTGTAGAATAAATGTAGACAGGAGTTTGGCCATGTCTCACACACACCCTGCAGCACTCTGAGAACAAGCGCTGATGTTTCACACTCAGTTTGTGGAGTTAAAAAAGAAAAAAGAAAAAAACAGTGTGTGTTTGAGGCCGCATGGTCCTACATCCTGCTCTGTATTCTTTCTGTCCAATAAACTGCTCATGTCACGAAGGTGCATATAGATCTGAGCACATTCAACATTTTATCAGTTTATGTTCTTTACACAGATCTACCTACAATGCTAAAAAAAATAATAATAATTTTATTACAAAAAAAAAAAAAAAACACAACACAATGCTTTCTTCACATATCCTAAAATCGAAGGAAGATGAGGTCTACTGGTGGTGTTAACCACACGGTCTGAACAGAAACATGAGCTCAGACCTTTACTCAGAATTCAATTCAATTCAATTCAATTCAATTTTATTTGTATAGCGCTTTTAACAATGGACATTGTCACAAAGCAGCTTTACAGAAATAAATGGATTCCCAAAAATATATTGTAAATATTTAAATTTATCACTGTGAATTTATCCCTAATGAGCAAGCCAGTGGCGACGGTGGCAAGGAAAAACTCCCCGAGATGATATGAGGAAGAAACCTTGAGAGGAACCAGGCTCAAAAGGGAACCCATCCTCATCTGGGTGCAACGGATAGTGCAATTATAAATAAATCCCTTCTATTGTGTA